AACTGGCACACACCCTTGGGCGGCTTCCTCGGCCCAGAGCCTTGGGTACGGTGCCAGTACACGGGGCTCCGCCAATTCCCAAACGGGAAAACAAACAGCCCAAAGGAGCAAACCTGGAACCTTCCTAGGAAGACCAAAGGAACAGGGCAGCCCGGAGCCAGCAGGCGGGAGGCCCCGCCTGGACTTCTCCCGTCCACGGCTCTGTGCCGTGTGCCCGCCTCGGGCCACCCTGGTCCTGGCACCTCACAGGGCCGGCAGTTCCCACACACCTGAGGGCCGCAGCCCACGCCCACCGTGACAGCTGCTCGCTGCAGCGAGGAGGAGGCAGGCAGGGAGTGGGGCCACTGGACCCTTGGCGGGGCATGTCATGGGGCAAAGCCCACAGGTGCTTCTTCCCCAGGCCTTGTCACTGTCACGCTGCTCAGGAGCAAAATGCCCTGAGCCCTAGTCACCTGCCATGTGGCCGGCAGAAACTGGTTCGTCTGCTTTGCCTTCAAAGCCCAGTCAACACAAAGCCGGGACAAGGCAATGCCATCTCAAACACGGGCCAGACACACGAACACAGGGACCACTTTCCTCCCACAGAAGTATCAGCTGCCAACACACCTCGCAGGAGGCCCCAGCTCCCTCTGCCATCCCAGAACCAGGCATGTGTACCATGGTCTTTTTGGGAACCCCCAACTTTGCGGTTCGATCGGTGATATAAACTCTGAAGATCAGGAGCCCCATTCTTTGGGGCACACAGTTTGGAGAGGTCGGGTCTCCTTCAGTCTCATGGCCCAGATAAGACACCTGTGAGCTGATAGCACCCCTCCTCTTAGGTGACTCTAACTTCAAATTAGGGGATTATTGCAGAAGAGAAATATATTTGCTGCAAATACATGGCATTCAGGATTCACAGGTAAAAGGCTGTGGCCCAAAGGTAGGGCCCCCATGCAGAGGTGAGGACAGGACAAGCAACTTGCATTTAAAATGAAGGAACGAAATTTAGGGCATGGAGCTTAGAGCTGGCACCTTGCACCATTTGCCATAAGGAAAAAGGACCTTCGAGAGGCCGTAACTGGACAAGACGGTTAAAAGAACGAGGGCGCGGGGAGATCTGGTGGTCTGCTTAGCTGTGGCACTCCTTTTCCAACTGTCCAGCTGTCACTTCAGTTATCACCCACTGCCTGGAAAGCCCCAGAGCTTCTGTTTTTCAAGGCAAGGACCATCTGCTGCCCCTCGACAGTGAATACCCCAATACCATCACCCCTCAAAGAGCCAGGGAAGTGGGGCCTGCGAGAAGAAACAGATGTAAAGGTGAGCCAGGATTGGGGACCAAGGAAGGACCATAACCAACAGGCAAGGGTAAGTGTGAATCCAGCCAGAAAACCCACGACCGACCCCAGCGTGGATGAGGCGCACCTGGCCGCTGTACTGAGCCTGCAACCTGACCACACAGACTCTCTCACTGTCTGCAGTAAAGGAGTAGCTAATGCACTGCAAACCAGAAATCAAACTTGGGGGAAATGTATTGGCAACAGCCCTGGAACACAACACACGTGGTCTCGCACAGGGAAAGCATTGTGGCTGCAGAAATTGAAAAACGAAAGGCTGTCAAATGCCATGTGTTAAGAATGCCCTTTGCTCCGAATCCAACACTGGAACGCGTAACGGCCGGTCTCTCAGACTACAGAATGCACGGTCACTCAGTGGAACACCAGCACAGACACCTGTGCATGCAAGTGGACACAGCTCAGGATGCACCCATTCCGTGGTGGTTTCTACAGGAGCCAATCCAGAAAGAGCGTGGAAAGCATACAGCCACATCTCTCTGTGTGCGGTCAGGCGGGTCCACGCAGATCCCTCATCTCGTACATCAACTTTAAACACCTGGACAGACTCGCCGCCCGAGGCTCAGGCACAGGAGGGCAGACCATTCAGACTGGACAACCGATGTGGGTTCTGGTCATGCAACTGAAGCGACTCGACACTGAACTTAGTCTTAAGTGGTCTGATTCCGCCCCTCAATGAGGATGGCTATGTTCGTTCAGAAGATGGAGTAAAGGACAGACTTCAGATCAGATACCATCAGACAGCTCATCAAAGCAGACTTACTAGAGATGCAAGACCGGGGGTGCAAACACGCGTGGGGGCTCAGCAGCATCGAGGCCACCCGCACTGCAGTGGGTGGGAGAAGACTTCCCGTATCATTTCCTCGAATTTACTTTTTGGGGCGGGGGAGGAAAGTAGAGACTTGTGCCTTCTTTTCTACGGACTGGCCTTGTCAACCTTCGTCAAGCTAACACAAGAACAACAGAACAACATGCAGTACAGCGCACACCAGTAAAACCAGCCGCCACGCTGCACATCCTTCCTGCCTAAGGCCATCCTCCCCAGCTACACCGCTGTGTGAAACTAACCCGCTGATCTCACAGGAGAGGATTCAGGCCTGTGAAAAGATTGGGGATCCCCGCCCTGGTGAGGGGCAGACGCTAAAATCTCTACTCCAGACCTGGTCACTCTGTTCCCCTAACAGCCCTCAGGGACCCAGCACCCCGAAAAGTTATAAAGAGCGTAAATATTGATGAACCAAAAGCCAAAACCAAACCTTTTTTACCAATCTAATTAAAAGTGATAAATCCAAATGATGGTCATTAATAACAATAAAAAATTTATACTAATACACACTTGGGATGTGCCTGGTGCTTTAGATAATCGTTGCAACAGAACACTGTGGTAGGTAGTATGACCCCCACTTTACAGATGGAGAAACCAAGGTACAGAGGCATTAAGTCAGTACTATGTACTGTGGTTGGTGTTCGAACCCAGCAGTCTACCTTTGGAGGTATGGTTTTAGCCAGTGCACTGAGCTACCCACAAAGGCAGGTAGAAATTCTGCAAATCCAATGTCTTCTCAGATACCTTTAGTTTTTGTTCTGTTTTTGTATTATTTAATTATTTTATTTTGGCAGGGGGGAGGTAATTAGGTTTATTTTTAGAGGGGGCACTGGGGATCGAACCCAGGACCTTGTGCATGCTAAACATGTGCTCTGTCACTTGAGCCAAACCCTCCCCACCTCAGACACCTTTACACTGAGGCCCGGGGAGCTCTTTACAGACAAAACTGAACTGATACTCGCAAACAGTTGTGACACGGATTAGTCCCCTCTCTTGCATATTTATGAATCACGTGGCAGAGGGAACCATGTTATCTTATCTGCAAAAAGGGGACCGGGAAAAGTCTGTGCATGTGAATGGTGGGGGCCAGTTATAAGAGGGGAGGCGGTGTGGTACAGTGGTTTTCGGGGCCTGAGGCTTCCAGTTAGTCACTCCTAGCTGCTTGGACTTGGGGAATTTACTTCTCTGTCAGGGTTCCCACCTGTAAAATAACCTCAGTCTTGACTTTATGGGTTTGTTTAGTGGGGTAAGTGAATTCATGCATGATAATCAGAAGCTATTTACACAACAACCGTCAGGGCTGGAGGGTTAAAAATATCCCACTGACGAGAACTTTCTTCAGTCATATTCTGAGGCTCTGCTCACCGTAAACAGCCTACAAGCCAAGCACACTCGGCATAGAACGCGCCTTCCCATACCAACAACTACGGCTGTTAATGAACTTGACATTTAATACTAAAAGGCACTCTTCGCCTTAATAATCCTTTCCCTGCAAGAGTTTCCTGGTTTTTAAACGTGTTTAATGTTTGCTAATCAATTAAACATGAATGTTTCCAAGGAGGAATTTCTAAAACTAACACACAGATTTTTAAAAGTTCTCTAATCAATCTGTGACAGATTTGGGATGGAATTCTCTAATCTGGGCCGTTGCACCTGCCCTTTGATAATATGCTCCACCGTATGGCCGTTGTTTGAGAACCATTTCTCTCTTCTTTCCAGATACAGGAATAGGTGCCTTCAGGTGGTAAAGAAAGATGGGTGGCACCAGTCACAGGGGCTGGACAGCCAGCCCAGCTTCTATGAACTTGGGGAAGCAGCAAAACAAACTTCACCGTGTGGAAGGAGAGCATATCATGTCGTTTCCTATTTCTGAATAGAATCTGAACTAGATTGTGGCCAACATACGACACCAGCTTCCAAGTGTGGGAATAACAGGATTCCAAGATTCACTGGCTTTTGGCAATGATCCTTAGCTTACATTTAGCAATCTTAAATTGCCTATTATTTTTCTTTTTCCTTTTCCATCTGTCTTTATTCTTTTCTTTTCTTTCTTTCTTTTTTTTTTTTTAAAGAAAAACACAGGGGTAAGAGTCCGAGCCTAAAGGAAGTGAGTTTCCTGACGTGGGGCTCTTAAACAGTCAGACCAGGACCCTACGGCTGGGAATGCTAAGAGCCCGCGCGCTGTGGGGGCTGAATACACACTTTGGGGGGCTGTGTCGGCAAACGGCGGTCCCCTACAAGTTCTCATTCTCGTGCTCTGCTCTGACGATTCAGCCAGACAAAGACCGCAAGTTCTCCGGTCCAAGGCTCCAGACAGAAGGAGACTTGAGTCTCCCCGAATAAGGCCCACTCCCGGCCCCGGGCGCCTGCACCCGCTGCGGAGGGGCGCCCCAGGGAGCTCCTCGCGTGATTGGGGTGCTTCTGCCCGCCCCGCTCCAGCTCCGACCCCGCACCTCTCCGGGCTGCGGCCAGATCCCGGGCCCTCCCGGGCCCCGCGGCTGCAGGCCCACGCGCCCGCACACCCCCAACCCCGTTCTGCCGAGGGGCGCCGCCCGGTCCCCCGCGGGCCCCTCGGACTCCGCCCCCGCGGCCTCCGGCCGGGCCCCGATACCCACCCGGGTCCCGCAGCGGGGGCCGGATACGCGCCGGCTCCCGGAGCCGCTGCCGCCGCCACTGCCGCCGCCACCAGTGAGGTGCGGTGGGGCGGGGA